GAGACTTAGGGACTTAAAATTATCACAAGTTAATTTATATGTATTCATGTTTTTGTGCATGTGTGTTTGCCTTAGACATTAGGTTGAATTAAGATTTCCAAATAATCATGTATGAAATAGAAATCATTGGTTTAACATTTGTTATTCGTATATAATCAATTTTCAGGGTATTCTCATTACATTGTGGAAAATAATAGAGGAAAAACAGAGACCTTTCATAGACTAGGTCTGTTTCAACTTGTAAACAAGAAGGAATTGCTTTTAATCTGAGACAGTGAAACCACTGCAGAAGACAGGCATTGCTCTATGGTAGAGGATGTCAAACCTCAGGCGATTTGACTTTGAAGTGGTACATGTGCCAACAGCTTTAACACAGAGAAAGTGACTGTGTGTAGACATAAATTCGGCTGCCATAACAATTACCTGTTTGAACAAGAAATGAAACCAGTAATGGTTACCCAAAGATCAATACTTTGAGAGGGGTTACTTCTGGTGAATGGCAAAGAGAAAAATAACCTGTAGACATGAGTAAGTGTATAATCATTTACACAGAGAGCGTCAAGAGTAGAATTTTTGGGGGAAATTTGTCCCAGATCCTGGTAAAGGAAACATAAAGAATCCAGAGATAAACATTACCACATTAAAGTCTGCTTTAGATTGGCTTTTTTGTTCATGCTCTGTACTCAGTCATGGACCCGTAGATCTTTATGGAGCTGGTTATATTCATCATTATAGGGGTAGATAGACCACCTTTAAAAGCCCATTGAAATTTCTGCATGGCCCTCAGTTATTGTATCCTTGCCCTCTGTGGGCCAGGAAGTATTTATTAACCAACTAACTAGAAGAAAACTGTAACTTTGTACCTCTAAGTTAATAAAAATTCCCATTAGTAAACAGCATTCTGCATATTTGCATGCCCCAAACCATCTCATGAAGTTCTTATCCTAAGTTAAAACATACTCTTGTCTGTACCTGAAAGTGTTCTTTTAATCCCTAAGATATAATGTGGCTTTTCTGGCCACTAATATGGCTGGAACTGAATCCAAACCAAGCCACAAATGAAAAAAAAATTCCAAATTACATAGATTACAAGTAAATTTCTTATAGTCATTTCCTTGGAAAGTATTAAAGCAAATTGTTTTATATTGCTTTTTATTATTTTCTGACTTTTGGATTTGCAGACATTTTTCAGTATTGCTGTTGCATTTTTTTATGCACAAAGAAGACTCCTTATACTCAAATTTCCCTTTTCATTCTTACATTTCTTTTTATTTCTTCCGTAGATTTGAGTATTTTAAGGCAATTCTGTTTACATTATAAAATACTAGTTGAGTGCGTGAGACCACTTCTGAATTTAGGATGTTTTGGATTTTTGGAATATTTGCATATACATAATAAGATATCTTGGGAATAGGGCCCAAATCTAAACACAAAATTTATTTGTGTTTCATATATATGTTTGTTTCATATGTATGTTGATATATATGTTCATATATATGTTTCATATATATGTTTGTTTCATATGTATGTTTCATATGTATGTTCATATGTATGTTTCATATATATGTATGCTTATGCATATACTTATGCTAGCCTGAAGGTATTTTATACAATATTTTAAAACATTACATGCATGAAACAAAGTTTGTGTACACTGAACCATCAGAAAGCAAAGGTGTCACTATCTCAGCCACCCATGTGGACAGTCTGTGGTTGACATCACCATTATTGCTTACTCTGACTTTATATGCTATTGATAAGCAATAATTTTCTAACACTTACTCACACATAATTACTTAACAGTAAAAAAGACATATTAACATAGTGAAAAAATAGTATGTTTAGAATAATTTAGCAGCACAATAGTATCAGCAGAATACCTGCATCATTCTTTAAACAACAGCAACAACAAGCAACAGCAGTCTCCACCTTTGATGCTGTGTTTTGATTAAAAGTTTACTGTACGCTGTATTTTTTTTTTCAAGATAAGAAGAAACGTCAGAAGCAGGAAATGTGTCCTCTAGGGATTAGGAGGCATTCTGCTAGATGGGTCTTTTAATGTTATTTCCAGAGTCATTTGCCTCATTAACAAACATTTTTGTCTTAAAGTGCTTCTTTCATTTTGAAAACTGAAGTGATTTCTTGTTCAGTTATGAATGCAGGCTTCTCTAGTCCTTCAATGAGTCCATTGTACATTTTCATTATATCATCTGCAGGCACTATTTCTGCAGTGTTGAAGGGGTCATCTTCATCATCACTATTATCACTATCTCCTTGATTCAGAACCATTTCAGTTATTTCACTAGTCAATGAATTAACAACAGGAACTTCATTATTAATGTTAAAAACATCTTCAATGTTCACTTCTTCAAGCTTACTAACAGACTCTGAAGGAGTAGTTTTTGCATATGTAAGGAGGTCAGATACAATTTTATTTTCTCTTGACATGTGGAATCCTTCAAAGTCAACATTTTATATTTTATTATCACTGAAAGTAGTCACAGGCCAGTGGTTGCGCCAGGCATGCTCAACTGTGTCTTTAGTCACCATGTTCCAAGCATTGGCAACAGCATACATGGCATCCTTCAAGCTTGTGAAACTTAGTTTTAGGTATCCAATTAATTGACTTAAGGAATACCTAGAAACCTGGTAAAGCATTATTTTTGAGTGTCTTTATGAAGGTGTTTTCAGAGGAAATTAGCATGTGAGTCTGTGTGGACTGGGTGGGGAATATGTGTCCCCAACATAGGCAGACACCATCCCATCTGCTGGGGGCCTGGAGAAAAGAAAAACAGAGAAGAGGCAAATATGTTGGTCTGTCTTCTAGAGCTGGGATACACTCTCCCTCTCCTGTCCATGGACAACAACTCCAGTTCTGCAGCCTTTAGACTCCAAGACTTAAATCAGTGGTTTGGACTGAGAATTACACCATTGGCTCTTCTTGTTCCAAGGCATTTGGATTTGGACTCACGCATGCAATTAGCATCCTGGAGTCTTCAGCTTGCAAAAAGCTTGTCATGTGACTTCTCAGCTTCCACAATCACATAGGCCAACTCTTCTAATAAGTACCCTTTCATTCATATATATATATATATATATATATATATATATAAAATATAGACATGAACTCTGATGAATACAATGCTGACTTCTTTGAAAGCCTTCTGCACCCTTGCCTTTGTTCATTACTGCTAGCATGCTGCTCAAGAAGGGGTTTTTATATTTATGTGTCATTGATTATAGATACCTTGGTTACATGGTTGAATGAATGAAGTCACTTTTGGAAATATAACTTGTAATGGGTATTTCAGATAAAGAATGAGCAGACAAATTTGTCAAGGAATGACAAAATCTCTCATAATAATGAAGTGGTAAGAAACTTACTCCTTGAAAAAAGCAAGGATGCAAGATTTTCCCAAACACAGCTAATTTACACTTATGCTTGCCTGCTGCATTAGCACATCCTAGTACAGTTATTCTATCCTTAGCAGTTTTAATTCCTGTAGTGGTGTCTCATCAGCTGTAGTAAATGTCTTTCTGGGGCAAGAACACCGAAACAGTGATGTTTCATCAGTGTTATGTATTTGGTCTTGTGTCATATTTTCATCAGTAGTGACTGGCAAATCAATGAGTTTCTCTGCTGCTTCATGATCAGCAGATGCTTTATTATCACACATCTAAAAATTTAATGCCATGTTTTTTCTTAAATGTTTGCAACTAGCCTGTTGAGTATTTATAGTTTCCTTCAATTTTCAGTTCATTGTGATACACCTTTGCTTGTTTCATGATCAGCATACCATTAAGTTGTATGTGTTTACTGCCACACTGATGGATGCACTCCTTTAATACTTCGTCTCATTTTTTAGCTTTATGTAGTTTTTTTCTACTTTTCATTAACTTCTTTTTTTGTTTTTGACAGAGTCTTTAGCAGAGTCTAAGTTGAGCATACCTAATCCAAAAATCTGAAATCCAAAATGCTCTCAAATTTGAAACTTTTGAGCATCAACATGATACCACAAGTGGAAAATTTTACACCTGTTGTTATGTGATGAGTTGCAGTCAAAATGCAGGTGCACAACACAAAGCTTACTTAGTGTCCCCAAGGGGGAAAATAATCTTTCCAGCCTTCTTCATCTGTGATATATCTTTTCCACACACACCCGGATTCCCCCATGAAGTACACGCACAAAGGTTAATAAAATGCCATGTGTGCAGGGTAAATATGTCAATGGCAGCCTCCACACAATGCCCTACATGGGGCCAAGATCCATGTGCATTACTCACTGCTCTTGAGTCGGTTGCCTAGGCTGGAGTGCAATGGCACAATCTCAGCTCACTGCAACCTCTGCCTCCTGGGTTCAATCAATTCTCGTATCCCAGCCTCCCGAGTAGCTGGGATTACAGGTGTGCACCACCACGGCTAATTTTGTATTTTGGGTAGAGACAGTGTTTCACTATGTTGGCCAGGCTGGTTTTGAACTCCTGACCTCAAGGGATCCACCTGCCTCAGCCTCCCAAAGTGCTGGGATTACAGGCGTGAACCCCTGGCCTATTTTTCATTAAGTTCTGTTCATCAGTTTCACCAGAGAACTTCAACAGTTTATCCTTCTGTTTCCTTAGGTCACATGTGATGGTTATGCTGACATCATAATTTTCTGTAAGTTGTTTTACGTGCACGTTGCTGTCCAGTTTCTTCAACAGCTTTACTTTCTGTGATATAGACAAGCATAAATTCATCCTTTTCCTTATTACTGTTACCTAGAGGGCATCATCCAGACCCTTTGGACAATTTCAACAAAATCTTTACACCATACAGCAGAAAATAAGCCAGAGCAGTGGGTAATGCACATGGATCTTGGTAGGGCATTGTGTGGAGGCTGCCATTGACATATTCACCCTGCACACATGGCATTTTATTAATCTTTGTGCGTGTACTTCATGGGGGAATCCGGGTGTGTGTGGAAAAGATATACCACAGATGAAGAAGGCTGGAAAGAATATTTTCCCCCTTGGGGACACTAAGTAAGCTTTGTGTTGTGCACCTGCATTTTGACTGCAACTCATCACATAACAACAGGTGTAAAATTTTCCACTTGTGGTATCATGTTGATGCTCAAAAGTTTCAAATTTGAGAGCATTTTGGATTTCAGATTTTTGGATTAGGTATGCTCAACTTATAGTACACATTTAAATAATTTGGGGGTGATATAGAAAAAAAACCATTTGTAAAAATTGTGCTATTGGCAAATTAATTTAGCAAAAACTTAGTACTTTAAAATATGCAGTGATCAATGCTTTTCAGGTCAGTTGTTAAAATTTGAGGAAATATAGAAGCATATCTAGAACAAGAATGTTCAGAAAGATTATGTTACTGTGTTGACCATGTTAGAGTTTGCCTGAGCCCTTGCCATTGGAAAACAGCAAAGGATGATAAATTCCCCCACCCTTTCCCCTTTCATGTTCCAAAATGTCTTATCCCAAATAACTACTGTTCCCACATATACTTCAATATCCTTAAGTGACTCAGATAAGATTTCTATCCATCTTGCTCATGATTCCCTTGTTTTATAATATCCCAGGTTTTCAGTCTCTTCCTTGAGATGTTCCCCGTTAATGAAGAATCTCTCTGTTGCAATGACCTGAGTAAGATCATCTCCTTAATGGCATGATGTATTTTGTCTTTCACTGTGTTGAATTTATGTTATTACCCCTGGCAACTGTCAGTTAGAGAGACAACATGATGGCTGCGGTTCTGCATTTCAAAACCATCATTCTGGACATGAAATATACTCTTTTAAAGTACTGGGTATTTTAAATCCATTTTTAAAAATCAATGTATACATGTACCCTGTTATAAAAAGAGGAGATTTGACAGTTTTTTGTTTTGATTAGCATAGATCTTCATTCAGACAATTATATATTTGTTGATGGCTTAATTGTGCTCAAGAATGAGTTATGTGACTCACTGGTTATATAACTTACCAGCTGTGTAACCTCAGGGAAATGACTTAGGCTTACTAATCCTTTGTTTCCCTGTATTCCTTATTTCCTACTTCATAGGATTATTGTGAGGATTCAATTAGGTAATATAAAAACTGGCACTGTTGGAATTAGAGTTGGAGTTGGCTATTGTTGTATAATCTATCATTTTATTAAAGCTCTAAGATCCTTCTTTATTTATTTTATTTATTTTATTTTATTTATTTATTTATTTATTTTTGAGATGGAGTTTCGCTCTTGTCACCCAAGCTGGAGTGCAATGATGTGATCTCGGCTCACTGCAACCTCTGCCACCTGGGTTCAAGCAATTCTTCTGCCTCAGCCTCTGGAGTAGATGGGATTAAAGGCACCCACCTGTACAGGCATACCACCACGCCAGGCTAATTTTTGTATTTTTAGCAGAGATGGGGTTTCACCATGTTGGCCAGACTGCTCTTAAACTCCTGACCTCAGGTGATCTGCCCACGTCGGCCTCCCAAAGTGCTGGGATTACAGGTGTGAGCCACCGCACTTGTCCTAAGATTCATTTTTTAAAGGTGTGGATTGCATTATTTCAAGCTCCATTCAAGGAGACTTAAGTAAAGAGGTACCAGGAAGATTTCATTACAGACCACCACTCTAAATTCCTATCACAATCCTTAGGAGACTGAGTATTGAAAACCCTGCTCTAGATCACTTCTTTGGAAAATAACTAAATATCTGTTTTGTTCTTATAGAATATTTTCAGAACAATCATTTTATTCTATAAAAGTAGATTGTTTTTAGTTTTGTTTTATAATCATGATTCCCCTTTTCTAAGAGCTATATAATTAAAAAATCTACAAAAACTACCTGGATTCTTAGGTGGAGCTATGAAGCATTAAAGATACGGCTCAACAAATAAACAATTGTACAAATTAAATTTTACCCACAATTCTAAGTGATTACATAGATGAGTAAGCAAGTTGGCCATGATTTTCCTGTAGCTGATGGAACTCTCTAGATTAGCAATAACCTCCTATCAGCTTTTATGCATTATTAAAAATAAAAATTATACTTTTGTTGTAAGATAGGGACCATGCATACCCCAGAAATTAAATTATCAGACCTAAGTAGGATTTACTGTTTTGATGAATGTTAGCAAAGTAGCATGAGTAGCAAATTTAGTTGATTGGCTAGATATATGCTAAAAATGTTTCTAGAAAAAAAAAAGGAACAAAAGAAAGAAAAAAGGAAAGAAAGAAAATAAAAGTAAAAAGCTATACTAGAAATGATCATATCTTTTAGCTGAGAGTGAATGACTTCAGTATGTTGCCAATTGTAAGTGCTGCTCTTTGTCATTTACGGCATGAGCTATTCTTCTTGAGTTCAGAAGTAAATGGAGGCCGACTGGATATACGGTTGTTATTGCTTTAAAAATATTATTCAACAAAATGTGAACAATATTTAAATGAGTCATTCAGTTTGGAATTGAAGTCCAAATGCATTTTAAAAACTGAACTATAGGCCAGGTGCAGTGGCTCACGCATGTAATCCAGCGCTTTGGGAGGCCAAGGCGGGTGGATCACGAGGTCAGGAGTTCAAGACCAGCCAGGCCAAGATGGTGAAACCCCATCCCTATTAAAAATACAAAAATGAGCCGGGCGTGGTGGTGGACACCTGTAATCCCAGCTACTCGGGAGGCTGAGGCAGAGAATTGCTTGAACCTAGGAGGCGGAGGTTGCAGTGAGCCAAGACAGAGCCTGGGTGACAGAGCTAGACTCCATCTCAAAAAAACAAAACAAAACAACGACAAAAAAGCCTAACTGAACTATATATGAACATTTACAGTTGTATTTATTTGTATTAAATCATACACTCCACAGCTAACTGTTGAGATAGACCTTTTCCACAATTCTTCATATCTGCTTTTCAGGATAACCCATCCTTTAAGATATGTTTATAAAGAGAGAGTCCCTGGCTACTCCTGCATATAAGCAGAATAAATTCTGCCTAACTGAATAAATTAGCTCTCTTAGTCCATTTTGTACTGCTATAAAAGAATACCTGAGATTGACTACTTTATAATGAACAGAAACTTATTGACTCACAGTTCTGTAGGCTGGAAGTCCAATATCAAGGTGCTGGCACCTTGTGAGGGCCTTCTTGCTGTGTCATAATGTGGTGGAAGGCTCCGCATGACAGAAGGACAAAGAAAGGGCAAGAAAGAGAGCAAGATAGGGCAAAACCCGCTCTCACAATAATGGCATTAGTCCGTACATGAGGTAAGAGACTTCATGACCTAGATGCCTCTTAAAGGTCATACCTCCCAATATCGTCACAACAGCAATTACATTTTCACATGAGTTTTGGAAGAGACAAACACACAACCGTAGCTGTCTGCTCCTGGCCCTCAAAACTTATGTTCTTCTCACATACAAAATACTTTCATTCCATGCCATTAGCTCGAAAAATCTTAGCTCATTGCAACATCACTTGTAAGTCTAAAGTCCAGAGTTTCATCTAAATTAGATATGGGTGAGACTCAAGGCGCTGAAACCACCTCTGCAGAAGTCGTCACAGTGAGAAAATTATGACAGGGAAAGAGATCTGACCTAACCGACTCCATCTTGCCTTTAACCTCCGAGCCGCCCTTGTTCATTCCTAAGCATTGGCCAAACTAACTTCGGGAGGAATTTAGTTTATACTTAAACTTCAAAACAAAGATGATAACAGCTCCTTCCCAAAACAAACCCTCTCCTGGTCTCAAGACCAGATTGTGTTTATAAAACTAACAAATTAGCCACAATATTAAAAATTATGCAGTCTGAGGCCACAAGATCATTAACCTCCCCAATTGTTCCTATAGCTAACATTAATATTAGAAAACCTGACATTGGTGTTTGAGGTAGTTTTCAGACCCTGGGTCGTGATGGATCAGCTGGCTTCACCCAGATCAGTAAACTCGCTCTTCTGGTCTTGCGGTCCCTACCAAGGAACAGATTCAGCACAAGAGGACAGCTTGACTCCTGGTGATTTAATCCCCGACCCAACAAGTCAGCATTCCGCTTTGCTAGGCCCCTGCCCACCAAACTATCTTTTAAAAACCCTAGCCTTCAAATTTTCAGAAAGGCTGATTTGACTAATAAGAAAACTCCTATCTCCCATTTAGCTGACTCTACATGCATTAAATTCTTTCTCTATAGCAATTTCCCTGTCTTAATAAATCGGCTGTATCTGGGAAGCAGGTGAGAAGAAACTGTTTTTGGGTGGTTACAGCACTATTTATCCTGAGGCAAAATTACCTCCAGCTGTGAGCCTGTAAAATCAAGTAAGTCTTATATTTCCAAATTGCAATGGTGGAGCAGGCATAAGATAGACATTCCCATTCCAAATAAATAAACAAATAAATAAATAAGCAACAACAAAAAAAGATAACTGGTCTCAAGTAAGTGCAAATATTAACAGGACAAACAGCATTAAATCTTAAGGTTCCAGAATAATCTTCCTTGACTCCATGTCCCACCACCAAGACACATTGAACCCCCAATGGCTCATGAAGCCCAGCCCCCAAAGCTTTGCAGGGTGCACTCATGCAGCAGCTCTCCCAAGCTGGAGTTGGATGCTGGTAGCTCTACGGTTCTGGGGTCTTAGAGGTAACCCCACCATTGTGACTACACTAGGCATTGCCCTAGTGGGAACTCTGTGATGACTCCATCTCTGTGGCAGGTTTCTTCCTGGGCCCTCAGGCTGTCTGACACGTCTTTTAAAATCTAGGTGGAGGCAGCCATTTTCCCACAGCTTGCAAGCTCTGTGAACCTGCAGAATTAGCACCATGTGGACACTGCAAAGGTTTACAGCTTGTGCCCTCTGGAGTGGCAAACCAAACCACACCTGACCTGCTTGAGCCACAGCTGAGACTGCTGAGGAGCACTGCACTGGAATGCCAGGAGTAAAGTGTAAAGGTGGCACTGGGCAGTGAGCCTGTGTAGGACATCCCAACACTTCCCTGAAAACCATTTTGCCCCCTGGGAGCTCTAGTTCTATGACTTTATTTTATTATATCGATAGAGTCTATCGATATATATATATGCTATATCGATATATGATATAATACCATGCTGAACACAGAAAACCATTTCCTGATTATAATATGATTCAAAGAAGAATTTAAATCACAATTTGAAATATAATTCTAAAATGAGAAAAAAGAACTGAATCTCATCTACAAAATGTGTTCAGAGAACAACACGTATGAAGACACGGTCACCTATTAGTTCCCTTCAGTTATCAAACAAAATTTCTTGTATTTACTTTGAAAGTATAATACAATACATAATTCAGGATGAAATAGAAGATTCCATGGCTAATAAAAATGTTCTATGGGTGGTATTTATTTACAGTCATGACTGAGTTTAAACATTCTCTCATTTAACTAGATAATTTATCGTTCAGTTAGGATTTTATTTATTTAACATTTATTAAGATATTAATGTGTCAGGCACTTTTAAATGCTTAAATACACTTAAATAGATAACTCAATGTATGTAAAACAAGGTTAATAAGGAAGTTTTAAAAGAAAGGCAGTAAGGGAAAAACAAAAGCCATGATGGAGGAATGGCAAAGAAAATAGAACTTCTTTTATTAACAAGGTAACTTTATAACAACTTTGTATTTAATTTATTTATTTATTTATTTATTAGTTTTTGAGACAGGGTCTAGCTCTGTCACCCAGGCTGGAGTAGAGTGGTGCAATCACGGCTCACTGCAGCCTCATCTCAGGCTCAAGCGATGATCATCCCACCTCAGCTTCCCAAGTAGCTGACACTGCAGGCATGTGCCACCATGCTTGGCAAATTAAATTTCTTTTTTTTTTTTTTTTTTTGTTGAGACGGGGTCTCTCTTTTTTCCTAGGCTGGACTTGAACTCCTGGGTGGGCTCAAGTGATTCTCCCTCCTATGCCTCCCAAAGTTCTGGAATTACAGGTGTAAGTTGCCACGCTTGACCACAGAATAATACCTTTATAACAACGTTTTTTTTAATTATTATTATTATTTTTATTTTTTATTTTGAGATGGAGTCCCTCTCTGTCACCCAGGCTGGAGTGCAGTGGCACCATCTCGGCTCACTGCAACCTCTGACTCCCTGGTTCAAGCGATTCTCCTGCCTCAGCCTCCCAACTAGCTGGGATTACAGGCACGCACCACCACGCCCAGCTGCCCAGCTAAAATTTGCATTTTTAGTAGAGACGGGGTTTCACCATGTTGGCCAGGATGGTCTCGATTTCCTGACCTCGTGATCCGCCCTCCTCGGCCTCCCAAAGTGCTGGGATTACAGGCGTGAGCCACCGTGCCCATCCTATAACAATATTTATAGTTTCTACAAAGCGTATTTATTATACCACTGTTTACGATTTCTACATAACAGTATTCAGTTAAAAAAAAATAAAATGTCGCAATAAAACTTTCTATAATTGAAAAAATGCTTTGATGAATTTCTCCTTTATTTGAGTTTTTCCAAGAATTGTAACAGAAGGCAGTTTATTTGTCCCCTTTGAAGATTATTTCCTTGATTGGAAAAACAGGAGCTTCTGCGGAAAATCTATAGTGGTGACGTTGGCTGTTACTGATTGAAAGACCACTAGAGGGCACTCAAAACACGTGCTCTGGTGATGTGCTTTCTAAGTCATACAACGGGTGTATTCACTGTCAAGTCCTAACCACAAGAAAATAAGAAAAATATTTATAACTAAAATTGCTTTAACACTTGACTTAATGTTAAAGCAATTGAATTTGTTTGAAAGAAAAAAGTACGAGAAAAATTTTGTTGTATAAATAAAAAAGGCTCCACTTGAAAAAAAAATTTCATTTGGAGCATTTATGCAAATAGGGATATATAGGTAAATTTTTATATCTGTGATATCAATAGTAGAATAATAACCATAATGGAATGATCACAGGACTTAGAATCAGAATAATAATGATAGATATCATTCATGAGTGCTTAAGAGGCACTACATGTTATCCCACAGACTTTATATATAATGCTTTATATAATTCACTTACACACACATACACACATATAAAATGTGTTACACTGACTCAAAAATATTGTCAGAAGGGATAATGCAGAGGACCAAGGAATCGAAGGCCTTTAAAGTGATCACCAGACACTATGTTGCTAATTGCGTTTTTATAGAAAGTTGTCAGCTCTATAAATTCATATGAACTATGTTAAAACACCACCATTAGAACACCAATAGAAAACTTGTTTCTATCTAAAATGGCATTTTTCTTGTAAATAACCTTTTATCAAATAGTAAGATGTACTATGTAGTTATTTATGTCTGCCCTTTGTTTAAATTTTTAGCCACCAAGAAGTAAAACTTTGAGTTTTAAAGCTAAAGATTCCAAAACAGATCATGGTAAGACTGGAACCTGATGGAAAAATGTTCACTAAGTTTCCAAATCATAGTTTTTAGTTCAAGTCAGTCATTCTACATTAGTTAGAAATATTGGCTGGGTGTTGGTTCATGCCTGTAATCCCAGCACTTTGGGAGGCCGAGGCGAGTGAATCACTTGAGGTCAGGAGTTCAAGACTAGACTGGCCAACATGGTGAAACCCCATCTCTACTAAAAATACAAAAATTAACCAGGTGTGGTGGCACACGTCTGTTATCCCAGCTACTTGGGAGGCTGAGGCAGGAGAATCATTTGAATCTGGGAGGCGGAGGTTGCAATGAGCCGAGGAGATCACACCACTGTACTCCATCCTGGGCAGCACAGTGAGACTCAAAAAAAAAAAAAAAAAAAAGGAAGGAAGGAAGAAAGAAAAAGAAAGAGAGAAAAGAAAGAAAGAAGAAATAAAGAAAACAGAAAGAAAGAAAGTAATAGAAAAGAAAAGTTAATTCATGAAAAGGTTTATGGTCAACATTACCTTATTCTGTGGCCCATGAAATAATGTTAAGAATACTCAAACTGTCACTGTCTGTATTGTTGTGAGGCCTCACAACTGTCAAATTTTATCCCCACTTTATTCATGAGAAAACCAAGGTTCAGAAAGTTTAAGTCTCTTAAAAGTAACAAGTATAATGGGTTCAAGTACTTATTAAATGTTACCCTTCATATACTTTCCCTTTTGGTTCAGAGGCATAGAATTTCATTGTTCTTATTCGTTAAAAATCTTCTTGTTATTTTGTTGTGTAATCTTATAAAACTCTTTACACATTCATCCCTCCCCTTAATGGTTAATATTATATTTAAAGCATTTTTTCCCATGATAGCTATGGTTCAGGAAAACTGTACAACATTCACATAACAAACTGAATTGTTATTTTAGTAAGGCAAGAAGGCTCTGTTAAATAAAGGCAGCAAAAGGTGAACAGATGATTAAATCAGTGTGCTGACATTGTGATTTTTGTTCTTGTTTCTTAGAGGCATGGTTCAGAGGGCATTCTTGCAGGAGAACATCTCTGCTAGCTCAAAATGTAAGAGTTGAGTCTCATCAAATAAAAATGTGAGAACTGTTGAAACTGTATTAATATATGCTTCTCATTTGAGGTAAATCCTCTTAATCCCAGATTCCTCACTATGGTCTAGAAAATCATAGTTCTGAAGCCTTAGGCTTTTGCTACCTCTAAGTTATGGTAGATATCTAAACTAAAAGATCCTGTTGAGAAAAATATTGAGTTTTATGGACTCCCTAATGCTTGACACAGCAAATAAATAAATAAATAAATAAATGATTAAATGCTCTAGAAAAATGTATAGAGAGTAATTTGCAGAAAAGTCGTCAACATTGATGAGGGTGGTTAGGCTTACCTCTTCAAAGAGATGACTTTTAAACAAAGTTCTAAATGAAGAGAAAGAGACACCCCAAATAACACCTAAGAGGGTGGTTTGCTAGGCCTAGGATCATTAAGTCACAGCAAAAGCTCAAAAAAGGGAGTGAGCATTGGGTGTTTGAGGAATAAAAAGAATGTCCTTGTGGATGAAGCCAAGCAAATAAGAAGAATTAAAAGAGATAAAGTCCTAATGGATGAGACCAAATCCTGTAGGACCTTACAAGATATTATAAGCAATTTTGTTTTTAACCTAATTACTCTGCAAACCATTGGAAGAAAATGATATACTTTGATGTCAATTTGGAGACATTATTCTGACTGCAAATGAACTATTTTAGCTAAGAGTAGAAACAAAGAGACCAGCTAGAAGGTTCACATGCAGTCCAGGGAAAGATTGGAGGAAGTTACTAGTGAGAGACTGCTAGATTTGAGGTATATTTTGCAACTAATGAACAAGAAGTTGAGTATAAGAACTTGAGAGGAATCAAATATCAACCCCGAGGTTGAGCCAGAGCTACTCAGTTGATGGTGATGCCATTTGCTTACCTGGAGAAGAGTAACAGGAGAAGACATTTACTGTGTAAAGCATGGATTGTACCTTATCGATCCACTTTAATATCACTACCCTGAATTCAATTGCTTCCTTGTAAATATTTGTTGATATTCCTTACTAACACATCACTGGTGTATACAAAATACAAATATATATTAGATGTGTCCATCATATGGAGTATAAAGCAGTAACAGAGTAAACAGCAAATTCATATTTTGCTAATATTGATAACATTTGTGAGACACATCCAGATTCAAAATTACCTGAAAATAAAATATAATATCATTTAAAGACTCAAAATAAACTTTAATGACTGTATCAATTAGAAAATAGTTTACTGATGACAGAAAAATAGAGGAGGGGTAATTCTTAGTTTTTAAAAATGGAGAAAGTTGGCCTAAAGCACAAAATAACAATGTTAATGATATTGGACAGAATCTCTCAATTTATAAAGAGTAAAAAAAAAAAAAAGGTAAAATGATCAGATGTATGTACAAAGACTTGAGGAAGAAGAATAGACATGTTAGAAAAAATTATAACAAACACAAGAGTAGATATAATTCAGGAGCTTTAAAGCTGTGAAATTTTAAAAAATATATCACAGATTCTCTGTCACGATATATTATAAAAGTGAGTGTCCTTTATTTACAAATTTACAAATTTAGTAAATTTGTAATGCCATCACAAATCTTATGATTATGGAAGTTCCTGCTCTTGTAAAACAAAAACAATCAGTGTGAGTCAAAATGGGAAGTTAACTGAGTAGTTCTAAAAAGGGAAGAGTTCTGGAAGTAATAAATAAATCTTAAAGCACTGAAGAAAGGAGTATCGATGCATTAAATAAGATGTGTATGGAAAACTGGAAATAGTCAAGAGTGGCACACAATTGTAAACATCCACCCTGCAAAGAAAGGATAGCTGAATGATTGATCAAATTACCAGGTCTATTTCTCATGTATGCTTTGATCATCCACAGAAAAAAAGAAAGAAAAGAAAACAAAAAGAGAGAGAAGAGGATAGAATTAGAATTGGCACCAACATGTGGGAGAATGAGTTCAACTGACTTGAATTGAGCCGCTTTGAATTGAACTGCATTGAATAAAATTGAATTGAGGGATTTGTACTAATTGTGAATAGCTGGCTGTGTGGGGGAGTGGCTGGGTGACTAGCCAGGAGCTTTATACTAAAGCCAACTATGCGAGATCGCTGCAGAGTAAGTGGAAAAATAAAATGAGGTTTCGCTCGTAACAAGAATTGTATATTATAACAATAAAGTATAATTGTCAGACTAGGAGAAGAAAAAGCTATTTAGAGAGAAGGGAAAAAAAGTTGATACAAACAGATTCCATAAATCAAAGAAAACGAGGACAGAAAAGACATATAGGGATGAGAACTGTTGAAACAGAAATCTATTGAAAGATTTAACGTATTATTTATTATTAGATTTCACTATTTTCTAATTCATGGATATTACCAACTCTAAGTTGAAAGGGCTATTTTTTCTTACAACAGTTGAATGCGACACACAAATCCTCATTCTCAAATGAGAGGAGTCACTAAGGAAGGAATTGTCCACTGATAGCTCTTGAGCAATGGCAGAGCACCTCTGAGTGATCACATTGAAGCTGACAATGTCCCATGTGCTTTCTTTATAGCTTCACATTCACTATTGTTATCAAACCAAACTGGAGTCTGCAAGCCCAGCCCAGGAAGAGCAGATATTCATACCAAGGTTTGCAGTGGGAAAAGGAAGGTGTTTAATTGCAAGGCGTCAAGCTGGGAAAACTGGGCAGCTCATGCTTAAGACTTGAGCTCCCAGATGGCTTACAGGTAAGGATTTTTAAATGTGGGGGAGAGGGGAGGCAGAGGTTACAGGCGAAGTAATAAATTGACACATGAAGGTTGCATTGGCTTGACCTAAAAAGGAAGGACATCTAGAAGTGGAGGCCCACAGATCATAAGTGGATTCAAAGATTTTCCAATTTTAATTGGTTAAGGAAGTCAAGATTTGTCTAAAAATTTGAGATAAGCAGAAAAGAATGTTAGCTTCGGCTCATGGGTATGACCTCATCCATGACTCTCAGGAAGAAATTCAGAACAAAGAACTGTGGTCAGAGTTTGGTCTTCAGCTTCCGCCATCTGAGGTCTATGTGCCAATAGATCCATTTGGTGTCGGTCTGAGTTTCTGAAGACAACACATGGACATCTATGTTAAGATGCTTTCTTTCGTTTCTTTCTTTCTTTCTTTGAGACAGAGTCTTGCTCTGTTGCCCAGGCTGGAGTCCAGTGGTGCAATCTCCGCTCACTTTAACCTCTGCCTTCTGTGTTCAAACAATTCTCCTGCCTCAGCCTCTGGAGTAACTGGGATTACAGGTGTGCGCCAACATGTGCGGCTAATTTTTGTATTTTTAGTAGAGATGGGGTTTCACCATGTTGGCCAGGCTGGTCTTGAACTCCTGACCTCCAGTGATTCACCCACCTCAGCCTCCCACAGTTCTGGGATTACAGGCATAAGCCCACCACGTCTGGCTGCTTTCTTTAGTTTCTATAAGGAACACAACATTCATGTGATTCTAACTCTGTATTAAGCTACTATTACCTTCCTGCTTATCAAGTTGCTGTTTTAGGTCTCAAGGCTAGCTAAGTGCCTGGAATTTCTCTTTAAGAAACTTCAGATTTTCCTTTATTTCTATGCTTGGAGGCCTCACAGGTCCCTAAGAGCTCCATCCCTAATGCTCCATCCATTTCACTATCTTCCTAAATGCAGAAGAATAAGGATTATGAAAATCTGAGTTAGCTGTCTCATTGGTGTTAACTAGGAGCAAAGCATATTTGCTTAGAAATTTCTTCTAAGCAAATTTCATTATAACAAACAGTCTCTCAGACCACAGTGAAATCAAATTAGAACTAAGGATTAAGAAACTCCCTCAAAACCACACAAATACATGGAAACCAAACAACGTGCTCCTGAATGACTACTGGGTAAATAACGAAATTAAGGCGTAAATAAAGATGTTCTTTAAAACAAACAAACAAACAAAATTTCTTCCACCAGTTAATCTTAAATCATCTCCCTCAAGTTCAAAGTTCCACATATCTCTAGGGCAGGGACAAAACGCTGCCAGTCTCTTCGCTAAAAGATAACAAGAGTCACCTTTGCTCCAGTTCCCAACAAGTTCCTCATTTCCATCTGAGTCCACCTCAGCCTGGATTTCATTGTCCATATTATTATCAGTATTTTGGTCAAAGCCATTCAACAAGTCTTGAGGGTATTCCATACTTTTCCACCTTTTTCTGTCTTCTTTTGAACCCTCCAAACTGTTTCAACCTCTGCCCGTTACCCAATTCCAAACCCAATTACATATTTTTGGGTATCTTTTCAGCAGTGCCCCATTCCCAGTATCAATTTACTGTATTAATCTGTTTTCATGCTGTTGGTAAAAACATACCCGAAACTGGGCAATTTACAAAAGAAAGAGGTTTAATGGACTCACAGTTCCATGTGGCTGGAGAGGCCTCACCATCATGGCAGAAGGTGAAAGTCATGTCTCACGTGGTGGCAGACAAGAGAAGAGAACTTGTGCAGGGAAACTCCCTTTATAAAACCATTAGATCTTGTGAGACTTACTCACTATCATAAGAATACCACAGAAAAGACACACCTTCATGATTCAACTGTCTCCCACTGGGTCCCTTCCACAACACATGGGAATTATAGAAATTCAAGATGAGATTTGGGTGGGGACACAGCCAAACCATATCGCCTTGGAAGACAACCTATGCAGTACCATTCAGGACATAGGAACGGGTGAAGATTTCATGATGAAGACAAAAGCAATTTTGCAACAAAAGCAAACTTGACAAATGGGATCTAATTAAACTAAAAAGCTTCTGCACAGCAAAGGACACTGTCAAAAGTGAAACACACAGCTGATAAAATGGGAGAAAATTCTTGCAAAATGTGCATTTAACAAAGATCTAATATCCAACATCTATAAGGAACTTAAATCTACAAGAGAAAAATCAAACCACCCCATTACAAAGTGGGCAAAGAACATGAACAGACACTTTTCAAAAGAAGACATACGTGTGACCAACAATCATTAAAAAAAAAAAAGCCCAATATCACTGATTATTAGAAAAATGCAAATCAAAACCACAATGAGATACTATCTCCTGCCAGTCAGAATGGCTATTATTAAAAAATCAGAAACTAACAGATGCTAGCAAGGTTTCAGAGTAAAAAGAATGCTTATACACTGTTGGTGGATGTGTAAATTAGTTCAATAATTGTGGAAGATTGTGGCAATTCATCTAAGAACTAAAAACAGAAAAACCCTTCAACTCAGCAATCCCACTACTAGGTACATGCCCAGAGGAATATAAATTGTTCTATTATAGACACATGCACATGTATGTTCATTGCAGCACTACTCTCAATAGCAAAGACATGGAATCAACCAAAATGTCCATCAATGATAGACTAAATTTAAAAAATGTGATACATATGCACTATGGAATACTATGCAGCCACAAAAAGAATGACATTTTGTCCTTCGCAGAAACATGGATGGAACTGGAGGCCATAATCTTTAGCAAACTAATGCAGGAATAGAAAATCAAATACTGCATGTTCTCACTTATAAGTGGGAGCTAAATGATGAGAACACATGGACACTTTGAGGGAAACACAGTGTGGTCTATCAGAGGATAGAAAGTGGGAAGAGAGAGAGGAACAGGAAAATTAATTAATGGGTACTAGGCTTAATAGCTGAGTGATGAAGTAACCTGTACAAAACCCCCCTGTGACACAAGTTTATCTATATAACAAACCTGCACATGTACCCCTGAACTTAAAAATCTTGGTTTTGTCACAACTCTGAGTGGCATCAACATATTTCCAAACTAGGAGTGCAGTGGCGCGATCTCGACTCACTGCAAGCTCCACCTCCCGGGTTCACGCCGTTCTGCTGCCTCAGCCTTCCAAGTAGCTGGGACTACAGGCACCCGCCACCTCGCCCGGCTAATTTTTTTGTATTTTTAGTAGAGACGGTGTTTCACCGTGTTATCCACGATGGTCTCGATCTCCTGACCTCGTGATCCGCCCACCTCGGCTTCCCAAAGTGCTGGGATTACAGGCGTGAGCCACGGCGCCCAGCAGACTTATTTTTTAACTGTAATTTGAGAGGTATAAATTACAATGATTTCTTCCTATTTTAGCTCAAACATTCTCTACATCGCATTATCTTTTGTGTCTTTTTTTGCTCACGAATTATTTCCATTGTTATACTGGTAGCAAAATTAATATTAATGCAGCTTATGTATATTATAAATAACTGGTTCCTAGAATATAAAAAACAGTAATGTATTAGGAAGATAAGCATATCCTACTATAAAATATTTTTGATTGAAGGATTCTAATAACTTGCAGCAAACAAAATATTTTGATCCATTTTGCAGTTTTAAATCATTCATGAAATGTTAGCAGAATTGCAAATATATGACACTTAAGTATCAGTCACAGAGACTGCCATCTATGGCTGTGTTCAAAATCCAGTCCATTGGTCATCTTTGTAAACAAAGTTTTATTGGAACACTACTACATCCATTTGTTTATGAATTGCTTATATCTACTTTTGCTCTATTATGGCAGAGTTGACTAGCTGTGAGAGAGGCCTTATGGTCCTATGGTCGCACAGACTTAAATACACAACCTGATCTTTTACAAAAAAAATTTGCCTATCTTTATTTTATTTGTGAAATAAAATACACCACCATCATTGTTACTACAATGGGTAATTTTTATTTTAGGATAAAAAGTACAAATAGTTACTGAATATAAAGGCTATACGGAAAAAGAATACATCATGGTGCAATTTGATAAAATAGACATTAAAAAATTTTGGAACTTTCACCTTGCTTAGTATTTGCTCTGTTTTCTACCCTAAGCAAGTACTGCAGCTGCAAACTCAATCAACGTATTAGCCTTCGCGAAGTAACTTTGTAGGTTTCCCCTTCTTGGTGCGTTGTTATAATTATATGCGTTAAATGCCTTAGAGATTTATCAGTCTTAAAATCATAGATTATTTATAAATCTTTGCTTTGTTGTATTTTCTTTGGTATTGCCCCTTACATTTTATTTTAAAGAAAATGAAGTAGTAAAAATTATTTTATTAAAAGTAAATCTAATCGGAGACACTTTTCTACTTTAAAAATAAAATATTTAAGGCTTGCTCGGGTTCAAATTCTGTTCTTAACAGTAAAGTAAGAAGTGGTGCATTTGTGTTTCTGTGACCCAGTGTCTCTGCTGGGGATCTGGGGTGTGGTAGAAATGAGTTAATGAACGGAAAGGGAAAGTCCAAAGGGAGAAATTTCCCAGGCACATGGCAAGCCCTGGAAATCATGGGCATAATACTTTCAGAAAATCCAGTGTAGTGTTCTCCTTAAGGCCATAATGAAGTAAAATATTTTAAAAATACATTTATTGCTATCATCTGCAGAAAAAAAGCAATGGTCTTGCAAGGAATATGGGGCCCATGAAGAATTATGCAGCAAAATTTGGGTATATAATTACATTTTTTAATCTTTAAAAATACAAGATACTTTAAATTGAGCATGAGTCTTTATTATGCTGTAATTTATAAGTGGACATTTTGCTACTAATATTTTTTACCTTTGTGCTTAACTTTCTCAATTCTTTTTTCCTTAACTTTAGTGTTGACACATGAGATGTCAAATATCAAAAAACCTATACTTAAATCTGATGGTGCATTTATATGCACTTAAGTGTATTTATCTAGAAAGTCCTTAAAACTCACTGATTTCTACAG